AACCTTTCAGCACTTCTAGCTGTAGTGGACATGAAGATTCCCACTAATAGCTAACATGAGAGAACTTTTTTAGACTGCTTGTTAACAGTTAATATTAGGGCTGTTTGGTTCCAGAAATTTTGGAGTCAAGTGATGGGAATCGATGGAATTGATACCAAAAGTTAAATCCACAGGATAATCTTCATTCCAAAAACCAAGAAGCAAAAACAAACCTATGATATTATTAATTTATTAATATATTATTAAAGCTAGTGGGGTTAGCCCTGCCCTGTAACGGATATGTCAGCTCAAGTTGAAATACAGACATTTTAAGCTTGCAGCAAGCATGCAATTAACATTATTGAAGCCATCAGTATTACAGTAACTCCTTCTTTAAAGACTTGAACAGTCTTTTAATATTGGAATATTAGTCTATTAGCCAGTTAGCTTTATGCTAACCTGCTCGGACTACTCTAGTGAGGGCAGAGTATATCAGTTATAAAGGGAACAATAAGTTAAAGAGCTGCACTTTCATTTTACTAGGCTGTAGTAAGAAGAGCTACAAACTGCACATTGAACCAGAATGTGTCAGAGACATTTAATGAAACTTAAAATGCTAACTTTCTTCTATTCAGTAATGAACGATACTTCCCTCCCCAACTGTATATTTCAACCATGATCTTCAAATACAGTGGCCGTGTGAAAAATAGCGTGGATGGTTGATATCCAGGAACATTTCTAGACTGTTTGCCAATAGTTAACATGAAGGAAACTTCCTAGACTTTAAGCTGGTGCACTTAGCAACATGAGACCACTCAGGCCTGTTAGTCTTAGCTTTGCTAGCGGCTAACCATGAAAGATTTCTCACAGGGGGTGAGCGCATTTCGGCTGGCTAAACTACTGCATGAGTGCCTGCACAGTTGGCACTACTGCACTATACCGCAATGCTGCAAAGACTTCTGGGACGCGGCTGTCTCGCTTGGTGGAACGGCGACTTTGTCACGATCAGACGAGCTAATTAGCCTTGAGAGCTCAGATTACCAGCACTGCACAGCAGAGGAGCAAAGACGAGAGAGAGCGATGCAAGAGAAAACAGCTTTAATTAAAAACAGATAATGAAACACGCAGGAGCTGAGACAGGAGAGAACATCCGTGTGGATATAATCATCAATAACACAAGCAAGCAAAGAGAGAGCTAGAGAGTGGAAAACACACAGCCGCCAAAATCAATTGGTCTAGAATGATTGTTGGTCTACGTGTGCGTGTGTGTTGGGGGAGTTTCCTCATCAACTCTGTCAAATCTGTTTGATTATTTGATGAAGCCTAGGGTACTGAGTGCGGTAGAAGGCCTAAAAGGTATAAGAGCAGGGCATACAAGATACTTTTACTTTTACTTGAGTGCATAATGGTGGGACCTCTAATAAGGCGAGCACATGATTGTGGGGAAATGTGTTGACACATTTTTGTGCTCTCCACCAGTTATTTGGGAGCAAAATGTCTGGTGCAACACCATTATTCAAGCATCCGAGCATGTTTTAAGACTTGCCTCAGGCAAAATGTAGACGATAGAGAATCTTTGCATTTTACAGAGAACGCTAAAGGTGTTTTTTATGAGCTGAAGGTACTATTCATGACAAAAATTCAATAATGCTTGATGATTGAACCTGTATTTTTATGTTATGAAGGTACATATCTTCACAATGGGCCATTGACTGTGTAATTCCGATTCAATTTAAGTCTAACCCAGAGAATATTTCTGTGTCTCTGCTGTCGCCTCTGGGCATGCTCAGTGCAATACGTCATCTATAGTATTGCAGTGTTACCACTTGTCCAGATATTGATCACACTAATACAGGCAGAGTGGCTCCACCATGCAACATGAGCCACAGTAATAGCTCTGTAATTCTGTAGAAGCTACAGGGAAACTTAGAAGTTCAGTTAAAAGTTCCACTATGGTGATATAAGCCAGCTCAGTGTTGTGACATCATAATACCACGCCTCACTATAATGGAGCAATATCACCAAGTTGAGCTAATGTTGTGTGCAGTTTTGGTTTGGCTTAAACTGCTGTGCAAATAAATGTACATGGATCTGTTTCTACATGCTTGCTTGATAGCATACAGAATTATGTAGAAGTTACAATAAAACTCATCATAAAAACATAGCTCATCATAATGGAGCTATATTGCCAGATCCATGCAGCTCGTCCCTCCACGCGCTTGTTTGTAATAGCTCTCTGTGATCCTGTAGAGGCCCTCTCATTGTGACATCATAAAAACAAACCTCATTATAGTCAAGTGACATTACTAGGTTTGAAAGCAATGTCCTAAATAAATATACAGTGATGTGTTTCCACATGCTTGCTTGTTGAAACAGATCCTAATTAGCATTCTCTCTCATTCTGCTGATTAGCTGTCTCAGTACACGAAGGCGAGAGCAGGCGTCAACCCCAAGGTCATGAAGGCCACTCATAAATTCATGGTGGAAAGCAGATGGACATGTGCTCACGCTCTCCCTTCAGAGGGACGGGCGGCCCGGCCCGTCCGACCCGCGCACAGATTGTGTGTGGATGAGCGGCCAGGGCTAATGGTGAAGGAGTAAGCCTTCGGCCGGCTTTTTTTCACTGGCGTCTGTGCTGTCAGGGAAGCCCCAGTCCTCATTAAAATCAATTTCCTGAGCACAGACAGCAGGAGGCTGTTGTCACGCAGGCTGAGCGCGGGACGACCGTGGGCCGCCGCACCCCTGGGCTGCTGGGTAAGGGCACCTGGCCTCCTCCAGCTGCTGACATGCCACCAGCAAAACTCCTGCACTGAAATGCGCCAGTCCTCATACATTTACATGGCCCTCTGTCTCACCCGCACAATCCCGCATACTAAAATAAGCAGAGTTAAGAGAACTCCTGCGAAAGTTAAACCTACTCCTGTGGAGCTAATGTATCTGGTTGCAGATACATAAAATGACTTTGACATGCTAATCCTATGCAATTCAATAGGTTTTAAATATGTAGGAATCTAAGAAGCTGTCAAGAATGATGAGCTGTAGGTTAATATAAATAGCTGTTTTATAGAACAATTGATATCCAGAATGCCATGTGGTTTAAAAAAAGAGGTGATCTCATAGCTATTCATGACCAGGAGAAGCAAAATGACCAAAAAAGCAAACAGTCTTATGCAAAAGTTAAGGCACCCCAATCATATTACATGATTTTCTGAGTGTAAGTAAGTTAATATATCTCTACAGAAAACACACTTCTGCTAATTTGGTGCGCAGTTAGTGTTTTTCTTAATTTAACATGGAAAAAAAATAAAACATAAAATGTGGTCTGTGCAAAAAGCACACATGAAAATATATTTTTAATGTGTTGCATGATGCTATCCTAAGCGGAAGTCTGTTAGCTGACACCAGTAATCAAGAAATAGAGGGTTACCTCACTAGCAGGTGGGCATTTGCCATGTCTAAATTGGGAGAAAAATCAACCCCCCCCCCAACCGCCACCCCATTTAAATATTTAAATGTAAAAATTTAACTATACATTGCACATACTATGATGGTCTGTTAATAAAAACATTAATGTGAAGTGATTCTAAACCTTTGAACCACGCTGTAAAATCAGTTACATATCACTGCTGTCGAAACAAAACCTCGTATTTCCAAAATGGTAACTTTACAGGAGAAGGAAAAAACTGCTTTGTTTTTATTGTAAGTCAATGGAACCAGACTTTTTTCCAAGTAATTTTGGGCCATTTATTTTGGTCCATTTATTATGAAATTTACACAAAATGTAAAAAGCAACAGGCATCTTCAGAATATGACAAAAACTCCAAATCGACAAAAATGGAGATACAAGGTTTGGTTCCAACAGCAGTGATATATGTCTGAAGAAGTTCTGCTGAGACTAGTGCATGACGAGAATGTACACTAGTACTCACTTCCCATGGTAACTGATATCTGAGTGCACAGTTTAATCTTTTCCAGCTTATAATGGATTTAGGCTCTAGTATGACATAGGAAAACACAGAATTTAATCACAGTAGAAACAAATGTGACAAGTCAGAATCAGAACAAAAGGTGTTTTGTGTTTTGATTACCGAGCCCTGTTGTTAAAAGTTGTCTAGTGAGAATATTTTAATGAGATTTGTTCTGTTGTGTTAAGAAACATCTGGCACATTTTCACACACTGCTGGTACGTACCTGAGGAATCTCTCTGAGGAAAAGCTCAGTGGTCCTTCTCCCTGTACAGACTGAAGATGTGCCTTTAGTATGAAGCAATGTGTCATCCTCTCAGTTGATCAGTTTGCATTATTATTCATGGATATTAAAAGGGTGAAATTGTGGGAGATTGTAATGACCTTGTTTTGAATCATTTTAATACATTGTTCATTACTGTCAGCTGATTGAATTAAGGGCTGAATAATTGATGCCAGTCGCTATGCTATACATGTCAACATCAAATATATTGATAGTGATGACGAACTCCATCTTCCATGTTCCCAGTAATGTGATGTCATGTACAATATCCAGTTTTGAAGTGAATGTGACAGTCTCTTTTTTTCCAATTAGTCCAGTCTTTTACTCACTACCAGCCTATAGAAATGTAACCCAATGTGAGTAATTAATGCAGTACAGAACTGAAATACAGCCTCTGCTAATGTTCACATTTGGAGACAAATGGCAAGCACTGACTGTGTATTATGAATGGAGGGTCGAAGTAATCAGAACTTATTATCTGCTCCGTTTAAATCCTGCAGCCCCTCACACTGCATTAATGGAGCCTTTTGTTGTAATGTTCTGACCCTTTGTCCCTTTCTGACCCCACCATGTCCCACTGTCCCATTGAAAAAGACAGAACTGGCCACTGCAGGGGGATATAAAAGAGATGGAATAAGTGAAGGAGCTAATTCGTTATCTTTTTTTAATCCAGCTCGTGTTAAAGGGAGTTCTCAGCACGATGTCTTGCATTGTGTGATTCTGAAGTCTTTTGACTCATATTCAATTTGTTCTTTTTTCCCTCTCCTGTAAAGGGGCGACCAAAGACATGGGCAAAATGCTGGGGGAAAAGGAAGAGAAGGATCCTGATGCAGAGAAAAAGGAAGAGGAAAGACAAGAGGCTCTCCGGCAGCAGGAGGAGGAGAGGAAGGCGAAATATGCAAAAATGGAGGCAGAGAGGGAATCAATCCGACAGGGCATCAGGGATAAGGTAAGAACCAAAAGGACTCATCACCACTCCATTATCTGAATGGATCGTTTAAAGCCCAAGTTGAATAGCTTAATTGTACAGTACAGCTCAGTAAGTTCTACATCACATTTGTTATTCTACATTGCATTTGTTATTATTACCAATTACTTATGAAGTTTTACTACTTATGTTGCAAGTTAATGCTTATACAAACTTAAAGGGACAGTAAGTTACACAAATAAGGCTGCAATTTATGTTCAATTCATTAATTATGACTTTAATTAATCGGCTAATAAAAAAAGAAAATGTGCAGACAGTTGTCTGTTAATAACTCAAAAAATTAGCAAATAACTAAATATATAATAATTAAAAATATAGGGATTAATCATCCTTTTGTACAGTGCTCTTTCAAACATACACCTACCATATCTGCTAAATCACTTTGATCAAGATCAACAATGCCACAAAATGCCTCCTGCATTACCTTCGAAGTTTTTTTATAAGGTTTTGTTCCAACAGTGACAATATATTTAATAGAAAATTGAAAAAAACTGCCAACACTAAGCAAAATATCAAATCTACTAGTATTTAATTTATACACTCTTTACTTTTGAGCACTCTACTGTCACTTTAACTTATCTTTCCTTCCAACCTTAAAACTTACATCTGCATCCTTCCTAAAAAACGGTTCTTCAAGAAGTTGCTGACATAAAGCCCTTATCAAAAAGGGAAATAAGTGAAAAAGCAGTAATTTCCAGAACTGAGAGTTGAGAACATTATTAAAAGATAAAAGAAAAAAGAAAATGGGATTACTAGCTACTGTGTAAGACCTGGTAGCACCAACACTGTCATCATCAGATAAACCGTACTTAAAGCTTTCATCTTTGAGAGAGAGAAGAACATCCACCTCCATTCTACTCTAGAAAATCAAGCTAAAGATCACTACAGATCTGAAAAAATCCACAGGTGTTTCTGTCCATCCTTCCACTGTGAGAAGACAACTCAACACTATGTGTCTGAAAGGGTGTGTAGCTGTCAAGAAGCTGTTTCTGAGAACAGCAAACAGACAAATAAAAAAGAACATTTGCACTCAAACTGGGCATCTGAGATGTAGAGTAAGGATTTATGGACTGATGTGTCTAAATTTGTGTTTGGGATTATTTGAATCTTGAGCTGCAGAAAATGCAACCTCTAAAACTGAACTTTGGAGGTTTGAAAAATTGATTCTAATAAGACGCTAGTATTCTAAAAAATATACATTTCAAATAATTTGTTGGAAGCTTTAAAAAAATTGAGACATTTCTTTTGTAGATGTTTCCACAATGACTGAGAATGCTGTAGAACATGATTTAATGAAGAATGATTTTCAGAATGACTTTAATAGCGAAAGATCATTTTATATATATATATATATTTTTATTTTGATCAATATTTGAAAAGCTAAGCCAAGTATGTGCAAGGTGGAAATTTTGCATTGAGAAGTACATTGAAGCAAATATGCTGTTAGTTATAATCTCATTTAATAACTTCTTATTGTTTCCAAAATAATAAAACAATAAAAATAAAACTACTGGCTGAAAGTATTTATCATCTATATTGTATTTAAGTTCATAAAAATAAAATAAAGTAAACTATAAACAATTTAAAAATATAAGTAAACTCTACTAAAGTGAGAAACAACTCTATTTTTCGCAGATTGTTTTGGAATATTTAATGCAGTTGAATTAAAAAGCATGTTTTCTCGTGTTAAGCTATGTACTGGGTTGGAAGGGCCCTGGGGCTGCTTGTTTTGGTCGAGAGGAGAGAGAAAATGACAGCTAAGCCTCGCCAAGCATTTTGTCGTGGAGAGAGGGAGAGGCTGACTCTGCTTGACTTCCCCTTCTAAAACTGCCACACAGCCTTTTTTCAGCGTGACACCACTGGTGGAAAGAAAAAGTAAACACGGGGGCTTCAGTACTCTGTCTGCTCCGCCAGGGATTTAAATTCACTTCACTAAAGTTTGCCTTTTCTAAATGAATTATTACAGCTTAGCTGACATTCCTGTATGAGGAATTCCATTAGTCATGTTTGTCAACTTAATGATGCATTTATGCGCATTCGTGACAGTCACCCCAGTCATCAAAGCCTTTATGCTGCATTCATATTAGAAAATGTAGTCACAGTAAACTGCAAGGAATATTGCCATATTATCATTATCGTTCATTGGCCTTGTTCACTTCAAACAAATCTAAGTACTATGTTTATTTCAGTAATGAGGCATGAAAGTGATGCTGACTGCACATTGTGTACATTAAAGGGGCAATAGCATGGAAAATTTTAATAAAAAATACCATTCACTACTTTATATATATATATATATATATATATATATATATATATATATATATATATATATATAATATAGATATATATAGCTATCTATGGAAACTATTCTGAATTCATCTTGATTGTGGTGTCACAGCCATGACCACATGGACATATGACCAATGAACCTACCACATTTAGACCATCCGTTCATGTTAAGTGATAAAGAGTTTTATTCCTGCAGACAGTGGCTAAAGCCGATTTTTTGCCTTCCCTGATGATTTCACTCTCAACTTAACAGTCTGTTCTGTACATTTAATTTTGGACAATGCAGGGCAGCCAATCTGAACAGAGGTCATTTACCTATATCAGTCTTAAAGGCACAGTAACAAAAACAGCATGTTGTAAAAGATATGGTGAGGTTGGAAAATGTTCATATATAATTGAACCACAACTAATTTAGAACCCACACAAATATTGTAAGCGGACTTCAGGAGGAAAAAATAAAATACAAGAAATATGTGGAGTGTGACCTCCATAATATAGCTTATAGTCATTATGTGATGAGGTAGATTTCTGCAGTTAATGGAATGCATGCATGGCAGCACAAAATGGTGAAATGTCTCCTACTGTGAGCCAGGTTTGATTAGAACAGATAAACTGCTATGCAGAGCCATATAGTATGCATCAGACTAAAGAAAAGCCGAGAGTCCTCACCCCATGGGCCTAATTTACCACTAGGGTTCTGACTGCGTGTCCGCATTGTGTTGAGGACGTGACTGAAATACTGAGGATGCGCCACATGCACTAAACATTTGAGTTTGGCACCCAATTTCAAGAAACCCCCCAAAGCTTAAGTAATATCAAGTGCCCACCCCTACTCCATCTCATATTAAAATATATTAAAGAGATTCGCAGAGCAAGGGGTGGGTAAAATGGTATTATTCCTCGCAGATGAGTCAGGGATGGCATGAAATCATTGGCAGGATAGGTTGCAGCTGAGCCCCTGCGCACATCTGATACGCTTTGTGGTCACCACAGGCTGTGTTATCTCTATTTTAATCCATGTATGCTCACAGAATCACATTTATGTAAGGTTTAAATGTCGCAGGAGAGTCATATATTTATTTTCCTCTCAGGTGCAGTGGAATCAGTCAGCGGTCCCCTGCTGTTCCTCACACACATTCTCTCATGCTCACACCTCAGCATGTTGCTGTTACTCTCCAGGAAAGTTACAGGATACAGAGGCCATTATCTGTTAGTCCACACCACCAGTCACTGAAAGACTGCTTACTGGACAGTCTGTATTTTCCCTCAATGTTTCCCATGTTGCATGCAATAAGAATTAGCTAAACTAAACTAACAGGGCCACCTTTACCCACCGAATCACTGATTTATATTTCAGTTCATATTAATATTAATACTATATGGGTAATTATAAGGGTTGTAAGTGTTATTCAGATGACTAGGGATAGATTTCACATTTCAGTTGCCATTATTGTTGCTCTGATAAAGCTCTTATTGATCTCAATTCTGTTCTGAATCGGAGGGCAAGTTTACTGAGAAATTATTCCAGTGCAGCCAACAATAAAGGCAGCATGATGCTTCTTTTATATAGTGATAGAAAACACAGTAGCACACAGAAAACTCAGATTTCATGTTTTAATACATTGTACAGTGCTGAACATGGACATGCATGTGTTTTGATGATCTTGGAGACAGATTTTAATGAATAAAAGGTGACAAAGCCAAAGTCTCTGGATGTATTGTATAGAGTTGAGGGATTAATGAAAAGAAACAGAGCCAATAGGTATGTAGTTTTTCTTTCTTCTCACTCTTTAGAGGTCCTTTTTTCTTAACAAAAAATCTCTACAAATGCCAAAAAAGAGCACAGAACTAGATACTAAGACAAGGAAAAATAAATTAGCCTTCGTTTTTCAGCCTCAGACTCTTGGGGCAGAAACAAAGAACAAGTGGACCATTTGTCATTTAAGCACTTGTCTAATGAAATGCCCTTCCCTGCCAATATTTGGCACAGTGTTTTAATCAGAACACTTAATTGTAAATGAACAAGTGCATGTGATCTAAATGAAGCTGAGAAAATGCTCAGTGAATCAGTAAGCTAATTGTCAGGACAGTGGAGTAATCAGGCAGCTTTGCCAAGTGGCAGTGTGCCAAAGACATGGTCATACAGTCGACTCTATGCCAGTTTAGAGGTAGGTCCTCTCAGTCTCTACTCCAAATCCAGACTGTGGCTGCATGATTAATCGTATTTTTAACGACATGGTGATATGAGTTGTCATGATGAACGCATTGTTAAGGGCTGCAGTGACAGAATGGATCAAATTATGTTACACACACGCAGCACAAGAGTGACACAATTAGATTGATGGGAATGTAGCATTGGTATGCTCTCCTGGGCTGTGCACAGCTCTAAAGCTGCTCTATCCTTAACAACTAACCTTAATCATTTAAATGTGATGATTATTCTTACTGCCAGTGTTGTGTGTAAAATATATGAAGCAGTGTCACAACAAACATGCATCACTATATAGGCCCTTTTAAGGAATGAAATATATATTTATTAGTAAATAGCTTAATGCCATGTATCTTAGCCCAGTAGTAATTCTTCTCTTTAAAAAAGCAGTTGATATCGTGCGCTAATTAGAAGAACTTGGATTTGGTTCCAGATTTCCCCTCAGTGCCCTCAGGCATCACAGAGATTCTTTCAGTTTCATCACAGCACACTTGATTTCATTTAAAGAAGCACTGGATGAGCTACAAACAATACCAGGCTGCTATGAGGAGAGGTTTGGAAATTGTTAAAGGAACATATTGACATACATAATAAATTCATTGTATGTCATATGTATTATATTAGTGTTATTCAGAACAAATAAACACACTGCAAATTAAATATGTTTTTAAATATAATTACCTCAGGTGTCCAAAACCTTTGCACAGTACTACAGAAAGACTGTTCAGGCTATGCTGACCGTTTTTCTAACAGCCTTACAGTGCACAAGAAATGCACCCCAATTGTAATGTTAGCTATTACTATTTCATTATTTTTGTTTTCCACTTTGCATGATAGTGATTGGTCAGTGCAATGTCCAACAACTTTATCAAATATTGCATTTTATGTCCATAAGATGCAGCCTTAATCCAAAGTATGATTGCTAAAGTGTTTGGAGGCTAACACGTTCTGAGACTTCTACTGCTCATGCACTCATTCGAAGAGCTAATCAGAAGAATATTGGCAAACTCTTTTCCTTTATGACTCAGCCTTTTCTTGCAAATGAATTTTTGCTTTTTCATTTCCGTCTTTGTTCCCCTCCTCTCCTCATATTCACACTGTAACCTTATTAAATCACCAGGCTCACTGTAATGGACTCCTTGCAGTGGAGTTGGTTTATTAGACTTGACTGTCATCACTGATATTAGTAATCTCTGAGGAATCTTTGACAGGGCGTACATATCTGCTCTGAAAACACACACAGCAGCTCCCGGTCCAGTCCAGCCTTAATTCAGCTCTAACACGTCTGGACAATTTTCTGGACACAGACTGGAGTGGGAGTCCCCACTGACAGATCAGTTTATTGCTGAAATAAATTATGCGGTTAGAGGGAATTCTCCACAGAAATCTGTTTTTTAATCAGTCCATTTTTGAGCCACACTTGATCTGTGGCAGCAAAATCATTCTGTAAATAAGTCAGATCCATTAATATTTCAATGTTTGAAACCTTGAATAAATGAGCTGAAAAGCTAACCAAGCCAAATGAAATATTGTACGTAGATCAGATGGAATTCCACAGGACAAACAGCATGGCAGCACCAGGATGGATTTGAGGAGATCTGCTAGGTTGCTTATGCTGAAATAACAGGAGAGATGCAGAAAGTGCATTGATACAAAAGTGGTTGATGTACTAATGTGTGTTGTTGTGTGTTGTAGTACGGTATAAAGAAGAAGGAAGAGAAAGAAGCGGAGGCTCAGGCAGCCATGGAGCAAGCGTCCGAGGGCAGTCTTACCCGCCCCAAGAAAGCTGTGCCCGCCGGCTGCGGTGACGAGGAGGAGGAAGAGGAAAGCATCGTGGACACTGTCATGAAGTTCCTCCCAGGTCCACTCGTAGACATGTTCAATAAAAAGTAACAACGTCTTGGATATATTGTTATTAAACCTGTCATAAACGTCATTACGTCCACCAAACCTTTCCCCTCCACTCACTCGTTCCAAAACCTCTGGACTCAGTCAGTGTGCCATGACATTTGTCTTTAACTATGAGTTGGACATTTTAGATGGAAAGACGACTTGACCTGTGCACTAAACAATGTAACAGATGCATACATGCCTGATGCTGTTTCTCATATTGAAGACAAATTTAATGCCAAGTTCTCTCTGAGTCCAGGCCATGGAACGACAACAGTAATTACCCAAGCTCCACCTATTTTGTTTGTAAATAGACTATTAAAAAAAGACTATATATGAATACCAGAATATATATATATATATACACACAATGACTAAGAGAAAAAGCCATAATTTTAACTTTGGGGAAAATCCTCCAAACCATATCGTATTTTTGATTAAAGTTTGCTGTTCTGTTATTGATATTATTGACCAGTACATGTGGTAGAAATGTATATAATGATTTACATATTCATTTGAGTTCCATTCTGTGAACCAGTACGGCACCATAATCCCACGATTCGCTGCGTTTTCTTGTATGAAAATATTATAATTGGAAATTCTGTACAATGGAAGTGAGCGAAAAAACATCGTTTTTTGTTTTTTTTAAGCATGAAAATGATACTTTGTGACTGCACTGTATGTCATTTCGTGTGACATTTTTAGACGAAATACATTGATATTTAAGGCAATAACTCTGAGTTTTTTGATTTTGTTGACTCATACTTGCCACAGTATATACATAAAGACATGATTTTTGAGCTCTTCCTTCAAAAGTTACGTCCCTCATCGTGCTAACCATCTCTCTCTGGAAAACAAGATTTATTGATTGATTACGGATTCAGGCATGTTAGATAATTACAGTGAGAGGAACCATAGAGCTAGGTGCTGTGTTTAAAATAGCTTAGCTCCTGGGTGATATCGAGCGCATACTACTACAATTGGATCAATAGGGCTATATATATATAAGTATATAATCGTCATCTTCATCGCTGTACAGTAAATATTGTAATTCAATGTTTACATATTTATGTTTCGAACCACAACTCAGTTGTGTGTACACGTTAAGTGAACAGACAGTGACAACAGTGCAATATTTGTTTTTGAATGAAGATGTCCTGTGTCAGTTGGTTAATTACGGGAATGCTATCCCAAATCAGCAATAACAGACAATCTTCATCGTTATGTATTCAAGCTTAATTAATGAATTAGAGAATGTTAGTGTGTCGTCTTCCTAGTGCCAGTCAAGCTGAAGACTTGAGATAAGCCTCATGAAAATGCATCTCGGAGAGGGAAGCAGGGAGTTGAGAACTCGTTTTATTTGTGGGTGTGAATTTCAGAGTATGATGTTAGGCCCTTCGAGGTGGAGCTGGTTTTGGGTCTCTGAGCCGTGGACTCTCGTGTTGCTTCACAAAGCGGTGTTTTGGGCCTGTGCTTTGTTTCTTTGTTTGTTTAATTTGTTCTAAGTGTTGTTGTTGCTGTTGTCGTTGGTGTTGTTGTCATAAGTGTTGTTGTGATAGTCCGTATTCGTGATGATTGCTCAGCCAAGAAGGACAACAATGGGTCCAAATCACTCAAACATGAGGCGATAAGCTGAAAATGAGCTGATTGTGAAGCCTGCTTTTTTCTTACTGTCGATAATCTGCTCAGTGGCTTTATGTAAAGTTTGGCTTCATGCTCACATGCAGTAACGCTAACGTTCAAAGTACTGTAGATAATCATAGTTAACATTACAGTAGGTCACGAGTCAGTACTAGCTAGTCTAGATTCAGGTGAAATCATCAGTCAGACATCTAAGAATGCTGAAAATGCATTAATATGTAAAGTTTTCGAGAGTAATGTAGTTAGCTATCGGCTGCCAATGGAGTGCTTTAAACATTCCAAGATATTCCAAACATTCCATCTGGCCCTTGCTGGTTTCCCAGAATTTTTTTGATTAATATTCAGCTGCAGAAGCCTTTGTGCATTTAAATGAAAAATTAAATCCACTGTCTGTAGAAAATATTGTAATGAGCCACAAGTTCTCCATTAGAGCTCAGCCTGAGCCGAACGAAGTGGTGCAGTAGCACACAGACAGAGCAATCTGTACAGCTATCTGACCTGCCATGTAACCCTGAAAGCAACGAGTTAAACGTAACACATATAGGATATCACTGTGCTCCTCAGCTTGCAGCTTGATTGTGCGGTGATGGTGTCTATCTAGAACCGAACAAACTAATCTGTCGCTAAGCTGCTTAATTGGTGGGAATTGCTATTTAGATTAGCTGTCAATCATTCTCAAGCTGTATTTTCAGATCTTACTGCCACTACTCTCATTAGTCCAGTGTTGAGGCGTTTTTCCTGATATAGCAGACTTGGCTATAAGTGCAGTACTGTGTGCTGGATGAAAAGGTTTAAAAATAGGTATAAAAACTTTATTTTCTGAACTTCTCAAACCAAGAAGTGTAATTGATCCAGTTAAAGAAAAGCCTGCCTTCGTCACTTAACTGTTCTGATGTAACAGAGGCCGTGTCCAGAGCACAACTGCTGTATTTTTTTCTTCAGTATCTGTAGAAACTGCCTTCAGCTTCAGTCTTTGTTGCTGATTACATATTGTGGCCTGTGTGATGGTGACTAATATACTTTGGCAAGACTGCCCAGAATCTCCATCCCTGACATCATTTACCACTGCCCATCTCCTCATCAACTATGTTTTCTAAAACCAAAGAGTGGTCTTCATTCTGATAAAATGTTTGGTGTGTATTGGTTCATTTCTTCACGTGTTTGTCAGTTTTGCTTTATTTCTGGTTTCATTTTATCAGGTGTTAATAGTTTAATTTCAGTTCTGGTGTCATTTCATGTCCTTAAGTTCAATCTGAGTCTTTGAGTTTGTGTTTTTTTTTGGCATTTTCAAGTCTAGTTACTATCCAGAATGTATGGAAGCCCATTTCTACCAGGTACAGGAGAAAAATAAACACCTGGGTTTTTTTCTCTTCCTCTGTTTTTGGCAGCATTGTGTGAAAATAAACTTAATATCTTGAAATAATGACTTATTTTGATAATGACTTAATTTGAGTTAGTATCTCAAAATAATAACCTATATCCTTGAAATAATCACTTAGTAATATTGTATTAATAGCTTGAAATAGTGACTTACTTTCTTGGAATTTAATCATTTCAATAATTTGATTCAACATACCAAGTCAAATTTTTGAGAAAATAACTCATTTGAGATCAGGTCAGCATTCTAAGAAAATAAGTCATAATTGCCGGATATTAAGTCAATATTCTGAGAAAAGAAGTCATCATTTCAAGATACTATCTCAATATTTCAACATATTCCTGCCAGAAACAGAGAAGAAGGTGATTTTTCCTCCTCTTCCTTGTGGGAATGGGCTTCCATAAGAATGTGACAAAACTAATAAATTCTTTTCAGTTCAAGACTGGACTAAAGTCTACCAAGCTTAACTCATAAAGTCATGAAGAATACATTCTTGTTGTCAAACACAAAGAGCTTCTGTTGATAATCTGTGATCTGAGTGGCTTTGTGACAATTTCCAGAACGTGCTTTTGTCAAATCTTGCACAAAGCAGATCGCAAACACACAGTGTGTTTGTGATTTGCTTTAAGTACGATTTGACACAGTCTGATCTTTGTAATCCTCACCGTTCAGGGTGACCATCCGTTTTCACTCAGATACTCATAGCACTGGAAAAAATACTGCCTGTAAGAACACTACGAACTAATCCATTCTTGTGAGCTGAATGTACGTGTGCTGTTCCTCTGCATTGTCCTTATTCGTGTCTTCTCTGTGCTGATACAGATAAACGACTCTTGCTGTGGTTTTTATGTCTGTAACTTCTTCTTGTTCCTGTCTTTTTCCAGTGGTTGTATTTTTGAGAAATATGTTCCTCCTATTTGGTGCGTTCTTTTTTATTTATTTTTGTTTGGGTTTCTTTTGTAACTGTGAAAGAAAAAAAAGACTTCGCACTTCTCTTCTCCCTCTCTCCTTTCCCTTTCTATCTCTTTGTTGACAAAATTGTATGCATGCATATGGTGTGCGCAGTAGGCAAGGTTGTAAAAGATACTTCTGTGTGTCTTCGGTGTTTCTGATTGCTCCACCTGTTAGCCCCCACTGCATGCCCATTTTAGAATGATTTTAGAACTGTAACATTCCTGCCAAAATGGAATCACCGCACACTGAGAATAAAGTGATTTCATATAATCGTTCATGGTCCTGTGTTTCTGCTCTGCAGCTGGGGCTGCTGGGTATCACAAAGTTTTCTTGAAAGCGGAGGGAGGGATTTCCCTGAGTATCTGGCGGTCCCTCTGCGGCACGCACTCTGCAGTGTGGCAGCCCCTCGCTCTGCTTTCTACCAGCATGGAAATCAGATGCAAAGCAGCTTGCGTGCTCGGATCTTAGGGAGAAACACTGCTGCATGTGTCGTTTTGACTTTTTTCTTCTTCCCTCCAGCTGGATAAACAACATTTTTTTTATTCAGCATGGTTGCTCTACATTTGCACCTTTTTTGGCAAAATATTTGACATCATTTAAATAAATGTGCAGAGGGCTGTGGACAGAATATACCATGTTGGTCAAATGAAGATTGGGTCATCTTGTCCAAAAAAGATTAAACTGGTAATCATGTTGCAAAGAGAGTGTCAGGAGGAGCTTCAAAGAAATGCAAATAACGCTCCTCTACTAACAAAGTCTGTTTGTCATAGTCTCAGCTCAGCTACGGCTATCTGCCTGCAACCTTGTACATCAAAGGAGCCTTTTTAATCAAATGATGGATGAAGTGTCTTTCCAGAATCATGGCCATAAATGATTTGAGGATTATGGAAAAGGACTTTTGACATTCAACCTTGAATTCATCTATTATGCTGTTGCAGAACGCCTATTTTTCCTGACAGTGAGCTTCCCACTGCGTCCTACAAGTATGTGTTAAAGCTGCACTATGTAAGGCTATTTTGTTGTTGCTCAAATTAAAAGATGTAGCATTACTGAGTTAGGAGGAAAAAGACACTAAAATATACTGTGTGCTGTCGTGAGTCACCCTGTAAAGCCTGAAATAATCATTTAAATGTCAGAGGTGCGGGACGGATTACACAGGAGTTTTTTGGAAATTGTCTTTACGTATTAATGCACACATACAGGCTCAAACAGAAGGCCCAGCTTGATATTTAGGTTTCAGAATTAACAATATATTGATAAAGATATGATGACAATAGTAGATAATTCACATACATCTTCAGAAGACACGTCCTTCACCAAGTTTTTGAGTTCTCTTTAAATACTTTTCAACACTCATGGAGGGGGTCCGATGCACAATTGATATTAAACAATGACATTCTGCAATGACACATTTCCAAAACCCAAACTTACATAGTGCAGCTTTAGGTTCAAGGTGAAACAGTTATGAATTTACCACCATTTGTTCTTTTACAATTTTTGGCTTAGCAGCCTGCTCAAAAAAGGCCCAGATGTCTGGTCACATCTTGGATTTCCATGAAAAAAATTAAGCAAAAACTTCAATTGAACTCATGCAACCATGCACACTTTTAAAACTCAAATTAGCTTTCCTATTTTTCCATTTTTTAAGTTCTAAATTTTAAATAGATTTTAACTGCTTACAGAATGACTGAACTGAGCTGAAATGTTAACTGAGTATAAACAGCACACCACAATTCATATTTAACTTTACTTCAATAGGTTTTGAGTTAATAAATGTCCACAACAGGTTGATTTTTGGAGGACATACTTTTTATGTCAAATATTGTGTGTGCAAGTCTTCATCTTTAAAATCTTATCTTTCAGTTTGCATTCAGTCAGAATGTAAAATTGACCCTTAAAATTCACCCCCATTAGGGCTACGTGGCTTTAAATAAAAGATTGTTAAAGGGCCTATAGCATGAAAAATCAAAATTTCCTTACTTTTGAAAATAAAAGATCTACCATGTAAACACTGTTAAAGTTCCAAAACATATGTTCACTCCTCAGTCCATACAGTCCATATGTGGAAACTAAAATGGTGTTTTGGCTTAATCATGGCTGCGATGTCACATACACAAGTGCCCATTCAGCCTACAGCAGTTAAGACCACCCATTTACTTTGAAATGATAGCATATTTCAGCCCTGTCTGTTTTTTTTATTATTGGCACCCCTGGTAAAAAAAATCTTTGGAGTAATTTAGCTCAATCTTATACAAATATGAGAGAAATCTAATCTCTAATTAAAGTATTTTTAAGTCTAGGAAAACAAAAGCTCAACAAGATCAAGCTAATTAACCACAGTGTCATTTTTTAGGACCTTTTTTAAACCCCATTTTTAACTTATAATTATGGAGATGACTGCAGATATATCTAGACATGTCTTGAAGACACAGTAACAAAAACATTCTGAGAGAAAAGAAGTCAGAAAATAGCCATGTAGAAATAAATTACAGTTCTGTTTTTGCAGTAACCACACAAATGTAACAAGTGGACTTCGGAGAGGAAAAAACACAGAGAAAATAGAAAACAAGCCCTTTAATAGACCACTGTATACAGCCTACAGTGTGGAATTTATATTGAATGTGACATGTATGTTCACACGTTCTATACACTAATTAAATTATTCTATGGTGCACAGTGCATGGTACTGCACAATATAGACAGTGACAACAGAAAGCTTGCTTTGAGGCAAGAAAACATTGCCTCTGCTTCTCCGGTGCAAGCGACTGCCCTCGGTCTCAAAGCTCTAATGAAAGTAAATAGCTGCGGAAAACCACTGGCTGCTTGGTTGCGCATGAAAAGCGACGCTACTATGAAATCACACGGGTGGACCTGTGTTAACTGCAGAGCCTGCGTGTGAGTGGCGTGGTCACAAAGCAGCAGTGCTCTCAGCTACACAATTCACACTGCATAATGGTGGGTATCCCTTTACTAGCACGTCTGGCGTCTCAGTACTGAAGCATATGCTTCATTCTTCTCTGCACAGCAACTTTAGAATGCAGGCTTGCAGCAGGAGAACAGGCCAGAAAAAAAAAAAATCAATGCCATTAGCATTCGGACTCAGGGGTGGCCCTTTCATACTCAACTGCCTCCTCTGACTCTCCAAACAGCATTCTGCAGCGGGAGAGGCTGGCTTTCTATTGGCATCCTGCAGACACGCGAAGTCAATGTCAATTAAGTGTTCTCTGTAGAGCCCAGCCATCGAACTGCTGGGAAGCCTTAAACCTTCTTCTGCAATGGCTTGATAAAGCAGAATTCAGCCGTACATCCGCACACTAATCATCCCTCCTTGGGAGGGAGTTCTCTTCTGGCTGCCTTTCTTACCTTAAACTGACATCACCACCCAGCAGGAAGGGAATAAGACAACAAGTCGTGTGAGGAGATCATTACAGTGCATGCTCATACACACTGCAGGGCACGATCAATATGTGGATGTTTCTATGCAATGATGACTTTCACTGTTTTGAAGGGAAATAGTAGCTGAAAGACATTGACTCTTTCTAAAATGAAGAGAAATAATCAAGCCATGCCAAAAAACACATATTGTATTTTTTATGCCCAAATACACTGTTACTGGTTGGTGTAGCATAGTGGGTAACAATGCTGCCTTTCATGTGGAGTTTGATTGCCTGCTTGCACCAGCACACAATGCTATAGTAATGAGAGTGCTTGGGCAAGACTTCTAACGCCATCATCACCTGCCCCTGTAACATGATTAAAACTGTAAGTTGCTCTGTATTAGAGTGTCTGCTACATAGCATAAATGTAAATGAGAAATTAACAATTCCAACAGCGGTCTTCAACTTGTGGGCCGTGGTTGTACAGCTAGTTGGCCGTCGGCGGTCATGTTTTATTATTGTTATTTTTTATTTAATATTATCAAATTAATTTAAGTAGATGATGTGATTTTTTGTGAAATTAAAACATTAAAAAATACCCTTAATATTTAGGTTGAGTGATTTGTCTGGCAAAATGTAACCAACAAGCTAGCTATGTTTATATTTTCAGTGCATTTCAGTGTAAAACATTTCTCTTTTTTGATTCCATGGCTTTCATCTATCATGGCTACAAAAAGAACATTTTAGCTTTTGTGGTCGTTTGCATTGGCCATGGGTTGCAAAAGGTTGAGAACTCCTGCCATAGAAGAATCACATTTGGTTCCCTAAATAACTTCTCAGTGAATGACACTTTAACACCTTTAAAGGCTGGAACTCCATCACTACTAGAATAGATGTAGAGGTCATTTTGACTTTTTAGAACTGTGTGTGCTTTTTCATACCACAACAGAGAATGAACAAACTAATAATGTTGTCATGCTGGATATGTCACAAGACACCAATGATGAATTTATTATTGATTATTTGTTATTATTGAATATTTATTATTTACTAATTATTCCATAATGGTGCTTTACTAGTTGACAACATACAGTATGTTATACAATTAACTTTAACAGTGTTTATCTGAAGGAAAAGCACAGAATTTCAAATGAATTACTTTCACACTTGAACACTAAAGAACACTAAAAACAAAAGCAACCATCATCATCACCACTACACTCTCTCTCTGCCCGAGTGTTCACATCTCATCCTTGTCAAGATACAGCCCTGTGTTTACCATCTATTTGTTGCCCAACAAATCTTTATAACATTTTGTTGGGTTTTTGTTGGGTTTTTATGGCGTAGCCTGTATTATCTGAGTTCTGCTCCTACTGTTTTTTTTTCTGTTCATACGCTGCAAGCTATTTGCCAGTTCTTTTCAGACATGATGTGAGGTGAGTGAGATGAGGTGAATAAGCTACTGAATAACTGACTTGCTGAACAGCAGGAAAAAAGGTCTGGCTCACAGAGACGTAATGCTGTCTAATGGCCTTACGAGGCAGAAACACTCTTTTCTCTCAGAACTTTTTTATGTTTGGTAATATTGATTTTATAACAAAGTTAAGCTAAAACATGCAATTATTTAGACAAAGTTAGGGAACAGTTGATATCGGGTAGTTACTTTGTCAAAACTGTTACAAATGTTAAATTTAAAGTAGTCAAAATGACAATCTTGGCCCTCCTCGTGTCAAAGAATCTTAATAAATTGTAAATAAGATGTGCAGGACCTTTTCAAAGTGTTTAGAACTGCAACATCATGTAAAGATTGTACACCTATTAATAATTTTTTCTAGAACCAAGAACCAGTTAGGAACCTCATCTCTAAGAGTGCACTCAATAAAGCAATGTCTGAA